CCAGCCTGGGCAACAAGAGCGAAACTCCGTCTCAAAAAAAAAAAAAAAAAGTTTTATGAAGCCATATGGTATTTCTTGTTAAGTGAAAAACTTTGCAGCCACAAAAAAGAACAAAACCACGTCCTTTGCAGCTGCATGCATGCAGGTGGAGGCCACTGTCCTAAGCGAATTAACACAGGAACAGAAAATCCAATACTACACGTTCTCACTTATAAGTGAGAGCTAAACACTGGGACTCATGGACATAAAGATGGCAACAGTAGACACTGGGACTACAAGACTGGAAGGGAGGGAGGCAGGCAAGGGTTGAAAAACTAACCACTGGGTACTGTGCTTACTACCTGGGTATTGAGGTCATTTGCACCCCAAACCTCAGCATCATGCAATATATCCATGTAACAAGCCTGCACACGTACCCTCTGAACCTAAATAAAATTTGAGGCCAGGTCCTGCAATCTCAGCACATTGGGAGGCTGAGGCAGGAAGATCACTTGACCCCAGGTGTTCGAGATCAGCCTGGGCAACAATGTGAGACTCCTGTCTCTATATAAAAAAAAAATAATAGCCCGGGCGTGATGGTTCACTCCTGTAATCCCAGCACTTTGGGAGGCCAAGGAAGGTGGATCACCTGAGGTCAGGAGTTCGAGACCAGCCTGACTAACATGGTGAAACGCCATCTCCACTAAAAATACAAAATTTAGCTGGGCGTGGTGGTAAGCGCCTGTAATCCCAGCTACTTGGGAGGCTGAGGTAGAAGAGTGGCCTGAACCCAGGAGGAGGACCGTACTCCAGCGTGGGTGACGGAGCAAGACTCCATCACAAGAAAAAAAAAAAAAAAAGGTGTGATGATAAAATCATCTCTTAGAGATCTCAGGAGGATTCCAGTAGTTGGGATGAGATAGTGCTTATAATGAGGTGTTTTTTTGTTTTTTGAGACGGAGCTTTGCTCTCGTTACCCAGGCTGGAGTGCAGTGGCGCAATCTAGGCTCACTGCAACCTCCGCTTTTTGGGTTCA